AAACTTGAAATTATGAAGATGGATGAGGATTCGAGATATTGCAGAATCAGAAAGTCTTTACGATATTTACAGTTGAAACTACAATATACGTGTACATATCGTACAGCAATATTTATACTACTAATTTTGACGTCCGTATTAGTATGCCTACTGTCACACTTTTTCAGATCTTTAGGTAAAACGCATCCCTGGGAACAATGTATTTCTCGTTTTCCTTTAACATCTCCTTTAAAATTTGTTTTGAAAAATGCTAGCAAAAATCTATCGATTAAGCCTATTTGAAACTAATTTGCTTGTAGTTGAGAGACTATTGTGAAGTTGACTCTCTCAAAATTTTTAATATTTAAAATTTTTTTAAATTAAGGAAAACGAAAAATCAAAATGTGCCTACATATGCAAACTATGAGCAATTGAATAAACTGAAGAAATTAAATTTTTTTTAATATTGGGGAGTTAACTTCTCCAGGTAGCTGCAGAGAACCACTACAACCACAAAATGGTCGATGGAACATTCATCCAGATTGGCTAAAAAAGAATAACCCGGAAATGAAAATGAGACACGGAACTTCTCTCATCTACTCTTGTAACTTGGGATATAAAATAAAAGGTACGACCAATGTGCGCTGCCTTTGGGGTGAATGGTCTACCATACCAGATTGCATAGGTATTTAATAATTATATGTTCTTAAAGTATTAATAATTAAGTATATTTATAACTTTTTTAGGAAAAAAATACATAGAGAAAAATGTAATTATGTATTTATAACAAATATTATAATCGAAGTTATCAAAGTTATGGTTATGCGTTAATTATTCAAATTGTTTGTTTGATAGCAATAGGCTGCAAAGTTTCGACCACAGTCTCAACCGAAGTTAGATGTATGCACGACGATAAATGGATATCGTGCGAAAATGTACCTCCAGGAACAAAAGCGATATTATATTGTCAAAACGGTTATCGCCCTGAAATCAATGTACTGTCCGCACAAGGAAACACTATGACATGTATTGCGAATGGTCAATGGGAATTAAAACCTATGCGATGCGTTCCAGGTCTGCTCACGATAAATACTTATTTTATTGACACTATATACACAATTTGATAGACACAATCGTACGTTTATTGATATTTTGAATTATAAAGTCATTATATAAATTTAAACAATCTCAATTATTCAAACATTGATGTTAGAGTACCAATAAATAATGTAGCAATTTATGAGTCTTGGCGTGTTCTTAGAACTATAATTAAGGAATAATAGTAGGATTTAAATACGTAGTACAATTTTGAATAACATTTTTACAGCTTGCGCACAGTAATCATATAAATATCATCTGATTACTCTTTTTTTTAGATAATTCACATATGTGTGTCATGCTTTATGTATTATATAGTTTCTATTTAAGTTGTGAATTGAAATTATTTCCTAATAAATTAAAGTTTTGTTAGAATTATTAAAATCCAATTTTAATTACTGTATAGAGATTCTACGTATAGTATGTATATATTTATATACTATCATAAATACATTTCAAGTATACTTTAACGTAATTTTAACATGTCTCAACTTTTTTTCCATCTCAAATCATTAATTATAGAATTATCGCAATAACATGCAATGTAGTTACGATAATTAGATAATAATAATTTATTTCCTTCTCTTGTATAATCACAAATATTTAATACTCTTGTATTATCACGCGGAGACAATTTTTCTAACCGAAATATTTATTATAGCATGCGGCACTCTACGGCCGTCTGACATGAAACCAACCATTGTAGACGGTGTACGACCGAATGTCACAGAATTTCCGTGGCACGCCTCGTTGTATCGCGATAAATCAGGCAAGAAAGAATACTTCTGTGGAGCATCCCTTATTACAGAAAATCTCTTGATAACGGCAGCTCATTGTGTATTTGATGAGAACACTAAGCAGCTAATTGACGCCAGTAAAATTTATGTATTAATGGGAAATCTCTTTCGTGATTATAATTCTACCTTTCATAATCAAACTTTCGTCAAAGAGAATCAGGTTTGCAAGTGTATACATATGTATAAAAAAATGAAATGTAAACTGA